AAAAACTTCTAAAGGTACAATTTAGATTAAGGTTTTAGGCGAAGTCAGGACATTTCGCACGTAGCTCCGAAACAATGAGCTAGATAAGGAGATAGATCCTATCTTCTTCCTGAAACTGGCTAATGGGCAATCTTTACAAACATTCAAACTATTTCATTCAATATGACAGTATGCTCTGCCCTGGCCTACAGTTTTAAATAAAGAGGCAATTCTATGCCCTAAAATAGTCGGGGCCAATCTTTTTGGCAAGCATGCTGTAACAAGTGGGCCTTCCTGGGGCTGGTCAGCTGTTGGCCCACACACCTTTTTCTGGGCTAACCACCCACCTCTCTCTCCTGCCATGCCTTGCTGATACATAATTATGGTGTTAATTAGGCAGGAGGCTGCCCATTTTCCCACCCCGATGCCAGGGGGTGCTATCTGCAGCTCCGTTCCTCCCCTACACCGCAGCTCAAGCCTTGCAAGCATTCCCTCCAGCTAGCTAGCACTGGGACCTGAGCTCCAGAATCTCACCAGGACTCTCACTCCCTGCCGGAGCTCCTGGTTCCAGCACCCTCATGCTAGGTTTACTCGGTACGCACACAAAGCAACATACACTGGGTCCTGTACCCACACACTTGGCTCCAACCCCTTCTCTGGGATCAGGGCTCCAAGCCCTGTCCCCAAACCCCTCCTGGGCAATCCCCTTATCCCTGACCTCAGGAGCTTCCTTAATAGCTCCCCAAGGCTCAGGGAGTTTCACACTGGCTCCTATATGCAGCCTCAGATCTCCACTGCAGGGTCTGGGTGCCACCACAGGTCCCTCCAACAACCTTGGTCCTGCCTCAGTGATGCACGGTGAGCCTGGGCCCCCCTTGCTCGATCTCACCCACCAGGGATGTGGAAGCTGGGTGCCTTGACTCGCCTTTCACCGGGGAGGTAACTGGCCTGGCATTTCCTGGGGGCTTCTGCACCACTGGGAGCCCCACCAGGCCACCCACTCCCGGCAGGGTGCAGTTTTCGGTCATGCCCAGGACCAAGAGCCTCCTAGCCATCCCCATCAGATCTTGCCCTTACCTCCTGGTTGCTCCTGCTGCAGCTCAGCTAGGCAATGTTTCTGCCTGGCCTGGCAGCCGCAAACTGCAGCCTTTATATATTAGGTTCTCAAAATGGCTGCCACCATCAGGCACCTGGTTGCTGCCTGACTACCCTTAAAGTGGCAGGCACCAACAGTGCCCTGCCACCCATGCCACAGTTTAAGCCCTGCATCCCCTCTAAGTGCCACTCCAGTCCTCTCTCCTTGCCTGATCTGCTGCTCTGCTATCCTATCCTGTGGTCCCTGCTCCCTCTACTGCTCTGTATATATCACACCTAACAAACACTCTTATCTTGGCCTTCAATTCCTATTGTCAGTATCTCCTGAAACCAGTTATACAACAAGAGGTAATCATAGCAACACTATGTTGCATAATAAAGAACTGTCAGCTCTCAATATGAAAACCACAGAAATTTAATTTATTTCAACACAATATTTGAAAGAAGGGTCAGTAAAACCCTTTCATAGGTGTGCTACATACCCACCAACATATTCAACAACCCTGAGCACAAATATAATACTGGTGAGCAATCAATGCCATTGCCTGACAGCTCATTAATAACATGCAATACTAAAATGCTGTTTACAAGCATTTGAAACAAAATATACAGAAAAATACAAACTGGGGGCAGGTCCTCTTCCATTCTGAAGTATAGAATTGGGCATAGGCACTGATGTACAATCCTATTTTACTCTGCTCAAGGCTCTTGCACTAACGTACAAGAAGGGTGGGTCTTCCTCCTTGATGCTTTTTTATGACTTAAGTCTTAAGGCTCAAATGATGTGTTAAAAGTCCATCCACTGATGGATTTTCAGGGACTCCAGCAGGCAGTGGCATAACTAAGGTAGGGCAAGCAGGGTAACCATGCTGGGTGCCAAAAAAAAACAACACACCTGTCTTGGTGGGGGCCAAAAAAAAGTCCCTGCTGCTGGCAGCTGTATGACTGGAATTGCAATCACACAGCCATGAGAAGTCTCCACTGCCCCTGCGCCTCTGGGTGACCAGCTACCTCCCTATGCTACTGCCAGTAGGGTGAAAGAGAACCTGGCCTTTAAGAGTCCCTTCTATTTCTATCAGTGTTAGCCACTGATCTTGCAAGACAGCCTTAGTGTGCACATGAAGCTGCAATGAAATCACCAGGGCTCTGCCTGGATGTGAGATCCCCCCACATGGAACCACTTTAAGAATTAAACCCTGAGAGTTTGACATTGATACTGAAAACATGCTGTGCATTTCAAAAAAGCCAGCAAGTAAAATATTTCTGATTTTACAATGAACCCTTGAAAGAAATTTAAAATTATCATATGTAGTTCATATCATCACCAACTATACTGCAATGAAAAACAGTTTGTTGGCCACATAAGAACCCTTGTATTTCTGCTTGAAAGTATAGCATTTGGCAAAGTTTGGGAGTAAATAGCACAGAACAGAAAATGACTGCCAATAATGAGTGATGATCCTGAGAACTCTTCCTTCCATAAGTGAGTATGGACTGCATTGATCAAATCAACTCTCCATTCTCACATAAGTAAGTATTTGCAGGATCAGACCCTGCTGGTTAGCTGCCCTCTGAGACTAGAGAACCCATCACCAGTATATCTGATCAAGAGAAACCTCATCCTCTTCTCCTCTTGTAATTATAACCCTCAAAAAAGACTTACACTGCTTGGTGCCATACAAAACACAAAGTGTGGACAATCTGCCCCAGAAAGCATCCAAACTCAATACAAAAGACAATGAAGACAGGATTTGGCAGGAAACCCAGAGAAGGAATATTGATAATTATTGTTAATAATGTTATGACCTTATTCTTTGATTATGACCTTGCTTCTCAAGGCCATCACCAGCTGTGGGCAAATCTGTTTTCAGCTAATGACTCATTTTGCTGAGCAAGCAGCAAGTCGGTGTCTCCTGAAGTCCCCTAGAGTTACTGAGTCATCATTGTCTTTACCTCTCACCTTCTCTTAGTATCCCATTAACTTCTTGCTCACTGAAAGTAAGGGGAAGCTGGGGACGTTCAGCATTACCCAAAGACATCATCTCTCTTTGGCTAAGTACAGATAATCAGAAAGCCTGAAGCCGAATTGATTCAATCTTTGCAGGCTAGTCTGAGCTGCATGAATTGAACTGATAAGCAAGTAAATGGACATTTAATTTTGATTCTGGAAATGCAGCCTGCTCAGGCTGGAGGGCACCTGGGACAGAAGTTCAATAAACTGATTTAGCTTAAATCAATTAAGTCTGATACTACACTTAGGAAGGAACAATCCCATGTACCAGTACAGGCTGGGGGCTGACTGGCTGGGCAGCAGCTCTGCAGAAAAGGACCTGAGGTTTACAGTGGACAATAAAATGAATACAATCCAGCAGTGTGCCCTTGTTGCCAAGAAGGCTAACAGCATACTGGGCTGCATTGGTAGGTGTGTTGCCAGTAGGTCAAGGAAAATGATTATTCCCCTCTTTTCAGCACTGGTGAGGCCACATCTGGAGTACTATGTTCAGTTTTGCACCCATCACTACAGAAAGGATGTGGACAAATTGGAGAAGGTCCAGCAGAGGGCGACAAAAATGGTGAAGGAGCTGGGGGATGTGACTTATGAGGAGAGGCTGAGGGAACTGGGCTTATTTAGTCTAGAGAAGAGGAGACTGATGGGGGACTTCATAGCAGCCTTCAACTGCCTGAAGGATGGTTCAAAAGAGGATGGTGCTAGGCTGTTCTCAGTGGCAGCAGATGACAGAACAAGGAGCAATGGTCTCAAGTTGCAGCAAGGCAAGTTTAGGTTATATATTAGGAAGAATTTTCTCATTAGAAGGGCAGTAAAACACTGGAACAGGCTACCCAGAGAGGTAGTGGAAGCTCCGTTGTTGGAGGTTTTCAAAACCTGGCTAGACAAAGCTTTGGCTAGGATGATCTAGTTGGGGATGGTCCCACTTTGAGCAGGGGGTTTGACTAGATGACCTCCTAAGGTCCCTTCCAACCCTAACTTTTATGAGTCTGTGATTCTACATTCATCTAGGTTTATCTTAAATTGGTTTTAGCCGCTTTGAATGCGGTTCATGTGCAGTGAACTTCTGTTGTGTTACAGATTTGAATTGGTTTCCAATCACTTATACCAGTTTGTGTGTAATTTCTGTCCCTAGCCTTTAGGATTCAGTGGGCTTGGAGTGGCCCAACCACCTTCAATTTTTTTTGCAAATCCCAGTTGTAAACATGTGGGGAACATCAGGATTCTTGAAAGGGCCATGATTAAAAAAAAATTTTAAACATGAGTCAGGGACATTGTTTTATTCCACAGAGCAATTCAGCACCATTCATCTTAGAATGTATTGCATGTTTCTTTAAGAAGGAAAAGAAACAAATATTACAAACAAATAAAAATTAACCTACAATATATATTGTAACCATGTTGTATATATACACCTATGAAATAATTCATCACAAAATTTTTTTTAGAAACATATTAAGGCTCAGGGTATCTTTGGAGCCTAAGACACTCAGCTGCTCAAATTCAAATGAAATTCAAAAGAAGCTGAGCATCAGAGTCCCTAAGGTACTTGTAGTACATGAACACCAATTATTATTATAATATTATAAAATCCTAACTCTATCTGACTGTTCGTCCATAATGCTTTATTCGTGCTCTGATTGGTTGACAGAAACAGCCAATCAGAGTGCTCCAAGCGTGGGGGAGTGCCGCCATAATTCCAAAGCCATGCTGAGGACCAGACAGAGGGTGGGGGAGCAGGGGCCAGCAGCGCAAGAGGCAGAACAGCGGCAGCCTGGGGTGTTAGGTGGCGGCACTCCATCCCAGCCCCCTCCCCCACTCCCCATCATTCATGATGGGCAATTATTTCTTTAGTAACGAATTACATTCGGTTAGGTCTTGCCTCTGTAGTTCTTTCAGTCCATTTTTGTTAGTTCAGCATCTCCTTACAAACATCCTCTCTGCATGTCAGATGCATTATCGGAGGAGGAGATTCCAGATGGAATCCCAAAAAATGAACAGAGTCAAATAAGAGGCAGTAAAAATAAAAGACAGGGCACAAGGAGACATCCTCAAACAGGAGCTGACAGAAAAGTATTGCAATAAAGACATGAAAAATGTTTCTTTTTCTAAAGCCCAATACTTATGATAGGCCAAATTTTTCATAATTCTCCAAGGCAGTCAGGAATTTCTTCCTCAGGATCTCCTCACTGTTGTAATTTGGAAGGCCCAAAATGTGGGAGCAAGTATTAGCCATAGGATAGTATTCATTTGCATTTTCTCTTTGAAGTTTTTCAATGTTCAATATCAAGTATTCCATTCTTTCAGCAGCAATTCGATTGGTTCCTGTCAGAAAAGCTGCAGAGGGGAATGGAAGAAAAGTCAGGAAGATACAGACAGAAAGCTTACTGAGATCACATCATGAGGAGGACCCAGATTAAGTTTAGAGGCACTGATTTATGCTGCTTGTTTGTTCTTGAGTATACCGCTTGAATACTTTGAATCCTGCTACCTGCTGGCTGTGGCTTTAACCCTACAACCCAGGAGGTGTGCACACATGTAAAATTAAACCAGAGGCACTGCCAAGGGTTCCAAATAGGACAGCCACCTTTCAGGCATTGCAGTGCTGCAGAATCCTCATGGTGGGGTAGGAGTGAGGCACTGCCTCACAGTGGCAAGTGCCCAGCATTTCCCCAGGATTGCAGAATGAGGGAAAACTGAGCCACTGCACAACAGGCATGTAATAACACAGAATGGCTCTCAATTCCATGCTCAGTCAATGTGCATTGGTCCATTAATTGTTAATTGTGTAGCCCAGGTAACTTGGGTATATACTCCCCTTCTACAATTGAAGGGGACTGTTAGCTGGCAGGTGTGCCGTGGGGTGGGAACTGCAGACCACTCCGTTTCCCTCTGTCCCTATAGAACCAGGCCAGGACAGTCAGGGGAGTTAACTATATACACATTTATTTACATTAACTTATCACAAGGGAAAGGAATATGGATATAAGCATATACACACATACATACATTGTACATATAAGATATCTAAACCAGTAATGTAAACAATACTTTCTGGGTAAATGACATAAAACCTTATACCAGTGCTCCAGATACAGGTAAGTATCTGATCTGAAACAGATAAACCCCAAAGATAAACTCAATCCTGAGGGGAAACCCCAATGCCCTTGGGCTATTCCCAAGCCCTACAAAGAAGCTGGTAACTTTAGGGGGGCCCTCTCTTCCCCTGTGGGAATCCTCTTTTCCTTGTTCCTTGCAACGCAGGGCTCCCAGGCCTGGAGGGTGGTCCTCGTCCTCTGCACCAGGCTGCTCTCTTGCCTGCAGTGGGTTTCTGGGGGGGGGGTGTCGCTGTCCCCTGGAACAGGGCTCTGCTATACAGGGCTTCTGGGGCCTCTGACTCGGCCCTGTCTGCTAACTCAGTAGCCCGATCACTGTCTGGCTCTCTGGACTCAACTTTTTGCTATGGGTCAGAGGCGTGGGCTGCCTCGTGCAGCACCAGGCTTGGTCCGCTCCTGGACCCCTCCGTGCAGCGCCTCCTACACTGAGCTCCCAGCCTCGTTCCGGGGGTTGAGGACCCGAGCCGCTCAAGCACTTCAAAGGTCCTACTTTGTGCAGCATCCTGGGCACCGTGTCTCTGGCTGCATGCCAGAGATTGCAGACCCGAGCCACCTCACACAGCTCCCAGGGTCTGGATGCTGTGCGCTGTGCCGCACACCGAGAGCCTAGCTGCTGGAGCCGTCTGCTGTTCCCTGGTGATGGAAGTCTTCAGGGGTGCTTCTGGGCTACTGCTTCGCTGTGCTGAGCAGCTCTTCTAAGCCCCGCTCTTCTCTCTTCGCAGTCCCAGATGTGTCCCCTCATGCTGGGCTCACAGCTCCTTTAATACTCTCCAGGGCTCTGCCCCTGAAGTCTTCCCGACCTGAGTGTTGCAGTCTTCAATCGGGGGGGGGGGGGGGGACGACTCCTCTCCCCTCCCCTCAGGAAAGGGGTGCGACTTAACTGCTCTTGCTGCCTCCTGATTGGTGGATGAGTTCCACCAATCAAAACAGTAAGATTTCAAGCCTGGGACTCAACCCAAGCTCTGAAAGGCAAGCCTGCTACAATTGTTGCTTGCCCAGAAATAGGAGCACTCCACCCATCTGAGTAATAAGCATTACCAGAGCAGCCAGTTGCCATATGAGAGTTGGGGTGGGGGCTAGGAGGACTTAGAAATGGTGCAGTACAGGGTGCCTGGAGGACTGACCAGACACTAGTCCTGGAAGCTTGGTGTCTGCAGATGTCACTGAACTAGTTCACAGAAAACTGGATCAAAATAATACCTGATTATCTAGGTATACTTTTGAAATGTTCCAGGAACTTTCAAGTCCTTTAAACCATTCTACACTGGTTCTATATCTGGACACTTGCTTTTTAAACTGCATTTCATATGGTGCAAGTCTTGTGTGGCATAAGCTGGGTTGACTTGTGCCAATCAGGACTATTCCCACAAGCAAAGAAAGCTCTAAGGACCTCAACCAAGCTTCCTTCTCCTTAAAACTTAAATAACACTAGAGTTAGAAATGAATTTGGGGAATCTCATTTTTTGGAACATGTCCAATGCCACCTGCTATCACCATCCAGCACTATAGAGAAAGTTACCAGGGAATACCTTGCCGAGAGAGTTCAGTTCATAGATTTCATAGATTAGGGCTGGAAGGGACCTCGGAAGATCATCGAGTCCAGCCCCCCGCCCGAAGGGCAGGAAGTCAGCTGGGGTCATAGGATCCCAGCAAGATAAGCATCCAATTTACTCTTGAAGGTGTTCAATGTGGCTGCTTGAACCATCTCCGATGGCAGGCTATTCCAGACCTTGGGAGCTCGGACAGTAAAGAAATTCTTTCTTATGTCTAGCCTGAAACAGTCTTGCAGTAGTTTATAACTGTTCGACCTTCTCATCCCTTGGGGCGCTCTGGTGAACAAACGTTCCCCCAGGTACTGGTGGTCACCCCTGATAAACTTATAGGTGGCCATCAGATCACCCCTGAGTCTGCGCTTTTCCAGGCTAAAGAGCCACATGGCTCTCAGCCTGTTGTTGTAAGGTCTGTTTTCTTGACCTCTGATCATGCGCGTGGCTCTTCTCTGGACTCTCTCAAGCTTCTCCACATCCTTTTTTAATTGTGGAGCCCAAAACTGAGTTACTAGAGTTGGTGGAAAAATCAGAATTTTAGTCCTGTGAGAAATTCTGATATTCTGGCATTTGTTTGTGGCACAAACAGGCAACATCTCTCCAGAATGGAAAACCACATTAATGTCTGAGCTAGGGCTTATCAAAACATTTTGTTGAAACATTTTTCATCAGAACTCAAAGGTTTCTTTTGAACGGGGTTCATTTGCATCTCTTTAAACCAGTGTTTCCCAACTAGTGTGCTGCAGCACAAAAGTGTGCCACAGAATTGTGCCATGGCAATAAGCTACAATAGGTATGAGGATGGGGAATGCCTTAACAGGTGTGCCACGGAACATTTTTATTAATGTAAGTGTGCCTTGGGCTGGAAAATGTTGGGAAACACTGCTTTAAACCACTGCAAATCTAATGGGAGTTGTAATTCAAATTCTTGACAACCCCACCCATACCACTGAATAGAAATGAGTGCACTATCTCCCATGAGCAGACAAGGTTCCTTGGGTGAATTTGATATCTTTTATTAGACCAACCCAAATAGTTGGAGAATAGTTATTAAGCAAGCTTTCGAGTTCAAAAACCCTTCATCAGGCTAAGGAAGTTTCAGTAGTTGGTGTGTGCTCTTCCTGGGTGGAATGAAAAGTAAAGAAGCCAGGGGCTGGGCTGGGGAGTCAGTTGCCAGGCAGATTATCATGTATCAAAAATCCAATGTCTATATTTAGTCCATGATCTCTAGTATTCAGGAGGTTGATGAAATAGAGCTCATAGGCTCATCTCTGGGAAGTGTTGTGTAAGTTTCCCTTGAGGATCAGGACTGAGAGATTGGAGAGAGAGTGGCCCTCCTGTGAGAAATGTGCCCCCACCGGTAATTGGGTATTTCTGTCTTTGATAGATTTCTGGTGTGCGTTCATTCTGGTGCACAGTTGTTGTTTGGTCTCTCCTACGTATTTTCCATCAGGGCATTTGGTGCATTGGATGAGGTATATTACATTTCTGGAGGTGCAGCTGTAAGATCCAGGGATGCTGATGGCTGTTGTGGGGTGTAGTAATTGTGGGGGTGGTGGAGAGGTGTTGGCAGGTTTTGCATTTTTTGTCATGGCACCATCTGGATCCTTTTGGTGTGTTCTGGGCTTGAGGAAGTTTGCTTCTGGTGATGAGGTTGGTGAGGTTTGGTGCTTGTTTGAAGGCTAGTATGGGTGGCTCTGGGAAGATCTTTACCTATCTATCTCCCATGATGCACCTCTGCTGTTCTGCCAGAGGGAACACATGGTGCATCCTGGGATATACAGTTCAGCCAGGGATCCTTGCTCGTGGAGAACAATGTGGGCAGCAGGCACTTGAATTGCAATTCCTATGATACACCTTGGCAGCTCAAGCAAACCTCTAGTATTGGTATTACACTGCCCTGAAACAAAACAATTCTATTCATTTTGGAGGAAAAATAAACCCTCAAAGTAGTTCAGTTTCTGCCATGTGACCAAAATAAAAATATTCTCCTCAGATTTTCTTAACAGCTAAAAATGTTGGCAATACTGTGACTGTTCCCATGAAAAATTGAATTTGCGATTGAAAAATCAAAAACATCCTAGTTTAAAATTTCAGACCAGCTATATTAATTAGACACCTAAGTAGAAGTCAACACTTGGGGTAAAAGGCTGGATTTTCAGTCCTCCTCTTTGCCCATACTCCCATGTGCTTTCCAGCAAGAACACCAGGTTGGGTATATCTACACAAGATGTTTACTGCATAATTGACTAATTAACTGTGCAGTGAGCATGTTGGCATCTACATGTGCATCCCTATTAGGGTGCACAATACTAAGAAAATCTGCAGTAGGATAGTACTTGTATTTACAAGTACTCTTCTTATGTGGAGTTTTTTTGTGCGTAGCAGCGCATGTATAGATGCTTCCCTGGCTAGCTGGCACACAGGGTGCTTCAATGCAGGGCTAGCTGGCAGGAAGTCCCCACACTGGAGCACCCTCATGCCCCAGCCAGCTGCTCCATATCATGTGGAGCTGGGGTGGGGGGAGAAGCCAGCCCAGGGCTGCTCTGTTGGGGCTCCACGTGCCATGGAGGGACTGACTGAGGCATAAGGGTGCTTCAGCATAGAGCTAGCTGGCAGGCAGCCCCTGTGCTGAGCCACCCTCATGCTTCAGCCACCCTCTCTGCAGAACATGCAGCCCCACCGGAGCAGCCCTGCATTGGCAAGCTGACCCCCTGGGTCCCCTGCCAGCCTGAGCTGCTCCAATGGGGCTCCATATGCTGCACATAAATAAACTCTGGAGCAAAAAAACTCCAGAGCAATAGACTCTAGAGTTTATTTGTCTGCATTAATCACACATATAGACGTGCCTGTTATTTCCAAATGTGGAAGTAGCTCCATCAGCTGGGAATCCAGCTTCATGTCATATGTTGAACTTCATGTTGAAGTTATTGGGCTTGCACCAATGACAGATTAAGTAGACAGTCTTCCATTTGTGCAGATGAACTAAATACTCACTAAAGGCAACAGCTTTGAAGCTAATCAAATACCTCCTACCTCAGCTGCATGATGATTCATGATCCATCATATGCACAGGCTCTAGGAGGGTCCAGGACCAATTAAAGCAAGGCTGCATATAGGTGCTAAGCATAATATAACCATAACAGAATCTGGAATAAATCAGATGCCCTGGGGCAACCTCCAAGACAGAGTCCTAGAAGAACAGAACTAAGTTTGCCCATGGTCCTTTGTGCCTGCCGATACAAGGCAGAGATGGCTCTGGCATGGAAATGGTAAAAGTACAACCAAAGAAAAGTGAGGGCAGACTTATTTTCCAAATGAAAGAATTCAAAACATGTTTGTTTGTTTTTTTAAATACAGAGCTAACTACTCAGAGCATTACTTTTATAAAACAATAATTTACCCGGCAAATACATAAAATAACCCTTTGGTTACAGGTTTAGATCTGCTTAGTTTCTTTAAGGTGGAATCTGCTTGCCTGGTTTTTACAGATTGTGAGATAAACCTGTGATTATTATTCAATTCCTCTCTCTCTTTCTTTAGACCTTCCCCCACTGACTTTAAGGAAAATCTTACCCAAGTGAAGAGTAAATGAAATTAAAAAGCTCAGTTCTGATCTCAACAATACAGCTATAAATTCAGAGCAACACCCTTTAGCCTAGTTCCTATCTATGTGGCATGGAGTACAACCTGGGTTCAAAGGACTACCAAAATCAAAAGACAGTGTTATACATATCTACTAATTCTTCCAGAAATGGTACAACTCTGAAAACAATTGTTCTTGTAAGGTCTAATGACCCTGGTCAAGGAGGTGCTAGGTGCTGTACATATTATTAAGCAAAGGCCATCCCTCTTCTACTCTCTAGTCTAAATGGGAGTGCTAAAAAGTGTGGTATGGACTATATTCTGCAGCATGAATTTCCTGACCATTTTGTTTCTTTGGCTATAGAGATTGTTAAAATTAGAAAGCACCATAATCTGATAGGACTTCAGGAAATACCATCAGCCACTTTAGGCCCCAAATGACTGGTAGCCACTTGTAACAGGAGGGACGTCAGGGTCGCCGTGCTCTCCCCTGCCGCCTCCTTTACCGTGCCAAGCTGTCGTCTTGCACCCTCCGATTCTCGCCCGCCACGTCTTTGATCTTATATATTTTTATAGGGAGGCTGCCATCTGTCCCCTTGGCCACGGTTCTCCTGTCACGGTTGTACCGTGCACCCAAGCCTTATGGGCTATGCGTGGCTCCTACCACCCCAATACCACACCCCAAGCCTCGCAGATGTAACGGACGTTATTCTGTCCCTCTCTCTCTCTCTGTGCCCTCTCTGGACTTGGACTCTCAGTAACGCAGCCCCCTCTGTGGGGCTCCTCAGTAGTGCTGCACCCTCTCTGGGGCTCACCGTGCCCACACTGGGGCTCCTCAATAATGCTGCCCTCTCCTGGGGCTCTCCGTGCTCACACTGGGGCTTCCCAATAATGCTGCCCTCTCCTGGGGCTCTCTCAATAATGCTGCCCCCTGCTCTGGGGCCGGGGTCTATGCACCCCGAATGCTGCACCCTCACCAGCGCTGGGGTCCTCGCACTCCACTGTGAGTCCCCTATGAGGCCTCCTCCAACCCCTAATAGCCTCACCCAAACCACCGGTCTAACAAACAGCAACATAAACACAAGCCCTCTGGCTATAACTTAAATGGAAGCCACCCGGCCACAACAACGCTCAAGCCTACTGGGAAATACTCCATCCCTTCCATGAGAGAGCTCCTTCCTCCATGGTTGCTGGCAGGGAACTGCCTCTGGCCCCAGCCCCTAAGGTTTATAAGGGAGCCAGGCCCTGCCCCTTCTGGTCAGCTGACCTTCTCTGGTTGCCCTGGCAACCCACAGCTGGGCTCCTTATTCCCTGCTAGGGCTCTTTCCCCAGCAGTTTCCCCACTTTAGGAGCAGGGCAGCTAAGTGCCCTGCGACACCACTTTAATCAAAAACGGGTTCAAGCTAGTGACGCAAAGTGAAAACCTTTCTGCCCGAACAGTCCCTCGAGTCAGCTGTTTTCTCATTCATGAACAATGCACTCAAAAAAGAAACAAGTCACAGGAAATGTGTGTCCAGCCAATTGAGCAGCTACACATTTGCCTGCCTGAGTTACCTTTTCCAGCAGCTGCCAGTCATATTTGGTATGCCCATAGAAAACGGCCTGAAGTTCAGTGGGAAGAAAGATCCTCCACCTGTTGGCTGGGCAGCCTCTTAAAAATGCATCCGTTGAAATCTTTAAATTGCCTCTTCACAGATTAAAACTGAATGTGTAATTCACATACACATCAATATATTCTTTCCTGCAAAAGGTATAGATGCAGTGCTATTACTTTCTAGGTTTCAGAGAAGCAGTGCAAGAGGTGATTTGAAAGGGAAAATGTATACTACTTAACTCTTCAATCCTGCAAATCCTGTGCATATGACTAGTTATCACATTGAGTTAAACAAGATTACTTGTATGTAAGAATGAACGAGAATGACCCCTGCAAATGTCCATCAGTTCAACTGGTTACATAAATGTATTTAGGGATAGTTTCTCATTCTAGTTAATGCCATTAACAATAACAACAACATGTATACAATAGTAGTATCCCAGGGCCCCAGAGTAAAACATGATAGGTGGTCTGTATTCTATACAGTATGTACACATGAATCTCTGGTCCATGTTCTACGCTAATGTATTTATATTGGTGTCAACCTATGGTAACTGCCTCTGAAATCAACAACATCATTCTGGATTTACACAGATGTAAAGCAGCACAGTTCGGTTTCTCTCTATTGGCAATGGGAATAGTCTAATCACATGATAATCCTAGACAGTCAACACACTTTACAAATTATGCACAAAGTGTGTAAGTAGTGCTTTCACAGACTCACAGAGTCTCAGACCAGAGGGCTTTGTTAGATCATTTGCATAACATAGGTTGTAAGATTTCACTCAAGTCGCCTCTGTATCGCTGCTATCCTTTGTGAACTGTATAGGTGATAAAGCTTGAACTCTCTCTCTGGTAACACGTCCCATCTTGCATAACACCCTCAACACTAAACTCATTAAAAAACAATTTACTGTGTACCCAATGCACAGAAATCAGTACAAGTGAGTAAATGTGCACTACATATAGTAGAGCATTCTAACAAGGAAAGAGAAATGTGCAGAAGAGCTTCAGGATCTTACCTGTTATGCTTAGTGATGGGAATGTTTGGACCATTTTCTTTAAGTTCAATAGTAACTATAGATTCTCCTTCTTTCTTCATTACCTAGACAGAAAAAGCAAGTCTTGAATGCTGGGTCACACATACCATTCTTTTCCTGATGCAGGGCTTGAAACTGTAATCACCAATGTACACACACTGAAAGGACCCATTGCTTTTATGGCTAGTTGATGCTTTCATTGGAACTACTTGAGCAAAGGTGGGGCCAGAAGGGAAAATTTGAGTCTTGTTCCACACTTGTATAGAAGGCTACTTCTCGTTGACCCTGTAAATGAGGTCAGAGTGTTTTGTAGCCACGATGGTTCAGGAAATGTGAGAAGCAGGGTAGTTTTTGGAATCGTTTATTGGACTCTGGTCTTCTGACTCATTATAATCTAACAGGTGTCTTCTAACCTCTCTTGTACTCCACATGTAGTAATGATTCTTTCCCTTCTAAATGGCTTTGTTTTACAGAAGTTGGTTCTCTCTTCTTTTGCTTTGAAGTGACTTCTAACAGTCTCTCTCTGCTCCTGTTTGCAGCTCTCCTCCACTCCTCTGGGTACCTGTTTTCTTTTGCATGTGTGGAAACAGACATGCCGTTGTTTTGTCTGGTGTTTAACTTAGATTTCATTTGCATGCAGAGCTAAACACCAGCCATTGTTTTATCTAGTATTTAGCTCAGACTGTTTTTTTCTGCAGACCTAAGGAAGGGCACTTTGTACCCAAAAGCCTGCCTAACATCTCTCCCAAATGTACAGTTTGATAAAAGATATCACCACAAAACCCCTTGCTTCTCACATTTCCTGAATCATCATAGCTACAACACTACTCCAACCCCACTACAGCATGAAGGATTTTGAAATTCGTTGCCTGCCCTGGGCTGACCTAACGAAGAGTACTTGGTGCCCAACAGCTTGCCTAACTTCTCGTCCAACTATACAGTTATTTCAATAAAAGAGATCACAAAAGCAACCCTGTGTTTCCTTGCTGTAAATGGTCATTCGCTCTGGGGAGCCAAAGATGGATACGCTTCATGTTAACCACCTTACTCCCGTGTGTGGCTTAAACATGCTTATGGGATGGGCCACCTACATTTAACCTTTCTAAGACTCACATGAGTAAATCTATTTCTTTGTCTAATTGTTTATAGAGTTGGACCTGTAAATAGGAATACAAGTCTTACTGTGATATCCAGCATCATTTCCTCCAGAACGTCATCATACTCTTCATTCAGCACTTTCTGAAGATTGCTAGTAGACAAGGAATGAGAGATGGACACAATAAGGGCCAGTTCCTGCAGCAGAATTTTTGAGGGAAAGTCCTTTCCTAACCTGCTTGATTAGACATGGTGCAGTCTTGTTCATAGAGTCCCCTTTGTTCAAAATGACCTCCGATTGCCCTACTAGCTGATCATGTAGTGAAGCTGTCTGAATCCTCTGGACCTTGCACCCCAACTCTGCATGTATTGTGTATGTGAATGACTTTACACAACTGAATAGTCCCATGGATGTTACTCATGTGTGAACAGGAGCAAGATCAAGAACTTCCACTGTTGTTTACAATGTGTAAGGATGGTGCCTTATGGACCAGTGGGATGCTATAAGAATTGTGCGTGGTGCTGCTGTGAATAATGACAGTTTAGGACAGGAAGTGAAGAATTATTGTTAGTTGGGAACCCTTGTATAATTTGTATCTGTAATATGTAATTGCCAGGGCAGCTAGGTGCTTAAGGGCTGCATTAAGTGGCTGAAATAAATAATAAGTAAAACAGCAGCGGGAGATTTGATATGCAGAATGCAATTAGCCAAGTTGGAAGTTGTTCAAGGCTCTGATGTTAATAGACATACTCTTATAAACAAACAAAACAAGCTGCCAAGTAAGCTTAAAATGACCAAAATTCCAATCATCCATGAGAACCAGAACTAGAAACATATAATCTCTGAACATCACAATGGGACATTGGTTCAGCATGGGCCTGAGGTAAGGAAGGCTATTTACCAAGTTGCTACCAGCACTACTTCATATAACGCCAATTTGAAATCTCCTTGGCAAGGACTAGCCCAACAAAAGCCTTGTTCCTTAGAGCTTGCAGTGTGAGCAGCTGGTGAGGCTGCAGCTGGAGACCAGAAAAAAAAACAAAACAGGAAAACCAGCAACACTTCTGGAGCAGCCTCTCACTCCAGATTGGAGGAGGGAAGCTGCCAGGAGGTATTTCTGGCCCTGGAGAGGGGCAGAAAGGGTTGATTCCCTGCAAGCTGCTGAGTGGAGTGGCTGAGTGTTCCTGCAAGCAGGTACAGCTGACCCTGCCAGACAAAGGCTGTGGGAGCAACCAAAAGAAGGAGGCACATGGAGGCATGCCTACCCTACACAAGAATTTTGAAAGCAGTTAAATGAAGTAGCTGCTAAGGATCCCAGAGGGAAGCAAGGAAAACTTCCTTCTAAGGTTAGAGCCACCCTGGTGGGTCTTTGTTTTGCTCGGAAGAGAGATCCTACCAAGGGACTGTGTTTGCTCACCAGTAGACCTACACAGATCTGTAATGAGCAGTGTTAGATTAATTGTTTTGGAAAATGAGTGACTGATCCCAAAGTAAAGGGGTCATGAACTGACTCTAAAGAGAGACTGAGTTGTTTCTGGGGTCTTTGAGCCCAGTCTAAGGCCATCCCCTGGATGTGGGTGCATATCGGGTTAAGACTGTGGTCATCAGAGGACTACGCATTAGAGAGTCGGAGAGCATAATACCAGGCCAAAGAGAAGCTTTGAGTTTCACCTGGAGTGGCTAGGATGGGGTAAAGGGGAGGTTTGGAGCCCTACAGAAGAAGACAGAGATCAAGACCTGAAGGATCATCTCAGGGTATTGCCTCCTATTAACAGTACCAACAATGCTGTGGCAGGCGAGAAAAGTACGATGAGTCTCCTGGCAGACCAGGTGATCCGAGATAAAGGTCCATCCTGTCACCGCCGGTGGGTAAATGAAATCTTGGCAGTAGCAGTAAGCCCTACAATATCTACAGTTGTCACACTGTCCTACCCCAGGGCACAGGAGGCAATTCCACCAACAGAGCCGGAGGACCCCAACTCCTGCCTGAGTCTCCATCTCTCAGCACATGGGTTCCCAGGCTTCTGTCTGGCTGACCTCAATTTAGATTCAGCCATATCTACAACAGTACATTTACCAGGCTCCAGAGCCACATCCTCTGGCAGGCTGCACTGCTCCAGGTGGCCACATTTGCTGAGTATTTCAGGCTAACTAATTAGTACTGTTAAGCGATGTTGCCAATTAACTTGCTATTCCCTAACTAGCCTGCCTGTGGCACTGAACAGATGTGGCTATAGTGTTTCCAGTCTAGGGAACAAGCTGTTCAGAGCAGCACAGCATGCTTGAGGGGCACTTTGGAGCACAGGAAGTCACTGCTTAGACTGAACCTGGTGGAGTACTGATACCTGCATTAATTAACTTGGTAATGTTTTACGCCCACGTGCAAATGTGTACACAAGGAACAAGCCTGCACTGTGGCTTGCTGTGCAAATTCCTGCTTAAAGGATAAGCAGGATTCTGATTTTGTTTCCAAAGCTGTTGGATCTTTCTGGAGGAGAAGAACAGGTTGGAGAGACTGGCCATTCCAGAAAACTAAAGAAACATCACTTTAAGTGCCTACAAAGTTAACCTTAAATGTTACTTTATAAATGGTGTGATGCCATCTATTGGAAACTACAGGTACTAGCACATTTTAATTTGATGTACTAAATACTCAGCATTTTAAATTGGTCTGTTATATATTATACTGTGCCATGACCATGTGAGTTGTATTTTTTTTACTCTTCTGCACAAAACTTTGTACTCCCAGAATGTGAGTTGCTGAATACAGTTAGACTTCCTTCTTGTTGTTATGGGAATAAGAATAACTCACTTGTTCTTTTGGTACTGTCAGAGCGATATTGTAGTCATGAAGGTACAGAAATGATAAAACTATAAAAATGTATAAGCTGGCTGGACACTAAGAACCAAGGACTAAACATTGATATCAGACTTATGGCACATAATATTTTATCATTAAAGATGAATTAGGAAATCTTACAGAAGACTGATAGTGTGTGTAGCAGTCACATAAGCCAAAAAGTCTAAAAGAATCCAAGGATATTTCCTCACAGACATCTTTAATACATTCAGGTAGCCTCTCTCCCTATACTATGCATACCTTTCCCTATTCAGTCCATCTCGATGTGACTAATGGTCCTGGATTTTCTGAGACAGTCCTAAGTTTCAGGACTATGCTCTGGCATCCCCCGTGATTCCCTGAACTGGGACTTTCATCTCAAATATGAAAAAAATTGTCCTGGACTGAGGCCAGGCAGCATCCTAATCAAAACCAGCATTTGCAAACTGCACAATTGCACAGACTCCCAAAACACATTCACTGCTGCCAGTTTCACAGATGCCAACAGCCACCTGTGCTGCTTCAGGAACCCTGGCCCAGATTTCACTCCTTCAAAGTTAGTTGCTTTAATTTCTCTCAGTCATGATCTGTGTGCATCACTTCCAGAGTGTTTTTTATTCTACCCCCCCCTCTTCCTATATTTCCCAACTCCAGCTGGACACTGACCAAGAAACATTCAAGCAATTGCTGGATCAGGGAGCATAGGCTGACCCTGTTCCAGGAGTCCTGCAAGTATTTATGACACAGGGTTGGCCAGGAGGGAATTAGGAACTTACGATGAATATCAAAATTGCAGGAATAGACTCCAGCCCCTCAGAAGCCTGCCATGCCCTTGAGCATGCATCACACAAGCAGGCCTGCTTGGGAACTTTTCAGCTGCGGTTTTCCCTGGAGACATTCAGATCCTGGCCCCAGCCACGCTGCAGGAATAGCATAGAATTATAGAGAAGTCAGGCTGGATGGCACTTTTCAACTCCCTAGTCCAGTGGTTTTCAACTTTTTTTCGTTTGTGGACACCTAAAACAATTTGAATGAAAGTGCAGACCCCTTTGGACATTTCAAATGAAGGTGAGGACCCCTTTAAATTGTAAGTGTGGCTATTCACATACTTTTGATTGATCAGTCATCTTTCATGGACCCATCAGACATAGTCTGTGGACCACAGGTTGAAAACCACTGCCTAGTCTAACCATCTAGTCCAATCCCCTGCCTGAGACAAGAACCATTCTATCCCCTGCCCTATCCAAACCATTCTATACAAATCCATAATCTAAACTCTTTGTAAAACTACCATCAACCCTGACACAACACAAGACATAACACAATAACCTGCCGTGGATAAAAAAGGGGGACCATGGCAGCCAATGTCCTGCTTCTATAAAAGGTTGTTAATATACACTCAAGAGATTCCAGATAGAGCCCCCCGCCCCCCAGGGGTACAGAGGAAGGCAACCCCCCCACAGTCAGTACCAGTCTGAGCATGGGGTAAAATTCCGTCCTGCCCCCAACTAAGGTGATCAGTCTGAGGGGCATGACACTTTAGCCAGGAACCTCCAGCTTTAAGTTCCTGCAGGAGTACTGGCACACCTCAAAGTACCCAGTCTTGGCTGCAGCCAGTAACCAATGCCTCTGAGAAAGGCTTAAAAAAACCCGGCCCTCACATGTAGCAGAAAGGGAGTGGGGGAGGTCACAGGGAATTCCCTCCCACCCCATGTGGCAACCAGCAAAGCCCAGAAGCATGAACATAGTAGAACATACAATAGAACATAGTATAGACAGTCACTGAGAAGGAGATGGGCTCCACCTAGTCAAGGTTAATTTATGCTCAACCTTTCTGCCCCATGGTCCAGATAGGCTGGGCTTGGTTTGTCCATGGGCTGGATCTGGATGGTAGACCCGATCCAGTGGGAGAAGTAGGTCCTGGCCACATGGAAGGGAACAAGGGGGGCATCATTGCCATGATCCAGCCATGCAGGATGAGGGAGCACAACCCAGCCCTGATCTGGCCACATGGGTCTCCAGAATTTGGCATGGGAGAGGGGTTGCAATGTTAATTGCCACTGTGCCCTCACCACCAACCTCCCTGACCCTTGTGGAGCTGTACGGGCTGGATGCCATGACTCCATGGGCCACATTCAGCCGACTGGCTAGGAGCCGAGCACCCCAATCTAGTGCAATTCCCAACCAAGGGGCCACGAGCTCCTTTTGAGGGTGGTGTGCAGGACCTTGCCATGCCAGCACTAAGAGGCACTCAAGCACCATTCATGAGATAAACCCAGGGATGCCAAATAGGTATCTGCCACTGTGGCCTCCCGAGCTCTTGACTACAGGAAAAAAACCCAACCCTCCTCTTATTATTTTTCTTTAGGCATAAGAAGAGAGCTGCGATTTTCCAAGGGGATCCAAAAAAAGACTGAGCCCCACTGATCGAGTCCCCGTTGCCTCCAGCACAGTGCCCCAGGGGCTTGACACTAAAGCACATGAACACACGGACTGCCTCAGTGGGTGCTTCTTAATGCGAGGAATGCTGACATCAGAAAATACCAGTATGTGGGTAGCTTCCCAACTAACGCGGGAGCATGACCTTTTGCATATGCAAAATCCATCCCGTCTGGACGTGAAAGCAGCTGCTTGTGCCTCTGCTCCCCGCGGCGAACGCTTCAACTCCGACATTCCTGACTTCACACCTTTATTCACTGGGAATCAAGGGGAAAACATGACCGAAGCCGCCAGACTCAAAAGTCCAGGCCAGCACCGTGCAGACTCAGGGCAGGGCCTTCCTCCGTAAACACCTGCAGGTCTCGTTTCAAACCCGCTCTTAAACAGAACTGCAGAGCCGGGCCCTGTCAGCCTGCAGCCGGAAACACCTCACGGAAAGACTCAAAGAGAACACCCCCCCCACCGAGCCCAGGCACCAGATGAAGGGAACGGGCGCGGGTGGTGGGGGTGTACACACGGCCCCTCCCCCCGGAACCCAAGCGCGGGGCGGCGCGCGGGCGGAGCGGGTTCCCTGCGCACAGGAAGTGGCGCGAGCAGGCGGGCGGAAGTCGCTGTGCGTGGGACGATGCTGGGCC